CAGTTGTAAAGGAGGCTGACAGAATAAAGAGGATGGAAGAAAGACAGGGATGGAAGGAGGGCGGAAAAGAGCTAGAGGGAGGGGAAAGGATAGATGGAAAAGCAGGAAAACACAGAAAAGCAGAGGACAGAGGAGAGAATCGAAAGATGGAGGGAAGGAGGAGGGCAGGGTTGGGGGGAAAGATGAGCAATGGGGAGGAAAAGAAGGACGATGTGTGGGGGAGAGGAGAGGAAAGAGGACCTGGGGAGAAGAGGAGGGGGAGAAAACTAGGCAGCGGCGAAACTCATGCTATCTTTTGCCCAACGACCTGGAGCGGAGCCGGGCTACAGACCCCGCAGCTGCCCGGGCAGTGCTATCACCGAGGAGCCGACAGTTGGGCAAGACCCAGCCAGGCTGCCTCGGCGGCTCCAGCTCCCCATGCTTAGAGACGGGGTCCAGCCCCCCATGATCCGGGACCCGACCCCAGAGGCTCCGCAGCCCCGTTAGCAGTACTTCTGCCCTCCCTGTCCCCCTCCCACCCGGGGCGCAGGTCGGGGGGAGGGGGGTTCGGCGTTATCTTCCTCTCTTGGTTTCTAAAGGCCCGGGGGAATCCCTTGGGGCCGAGACCGAAATCTACAACCTGCCGCCTCTTGTTCCTCCCACGCTTCGGAAGCGGGAACCGCAGCGGCGCCGGGTCTTCCGCGTTCGGGCACCCAGCGGGTCCTGCGCACGCGCCCAGCGACCGCGCCAATGGTCCCGCGGCCACGGAGCATGCGTGGGAGCCCCGCCCCTCACACCTCCTCCAAAGGGGAGGAGCACTTCCTGGGGGCCCGGCGCTTTCCTACAAGGCATTGGCCGGGAGAACCTGGCGCCGGATTTTGAATAGAACCAATAGCCTAGAGACGCTGGGGCATCATCTTTCACGAGTTGGAAACCGAAAGGAGCGGCTTCGGCGCATCTCATTCCCAATTTGTGTGCTGTGTTTTCTGTGATCCCCGCTCATTTTTTAAACCCCTGGATTTTATGGGTCTTTGTCAGGAGCGGCGGATTTCTTTTTCAGATGACCTATTTGGATGCACTAGACCAAAGGGAAGTTTACAAACAAAAACAATGGTGTAGAAAGAAAGAATCTAATGAGCGTTCACAATGAGAAGCACTCAGCTCCATTTTACAAGCACTGTTAGCTTCAAAGATTATTAGGAAAAGTCCTGAAGAACAAGTAGCAAGTGTTTTTCTTTCTGCGTTTATGGAGACCCTAACAATTATGATTCGGCATGTGTGAGACCTGGAATTTATTTTATTTAACAAACTTCTACATCTAGAGACACAGAAGCATGGAGCAGGCTGAGGAATCTCAGAGGGAAGGCGCGGAGTAGGGGAGCAGGTGGGGAGAGATTAATCAAAGAACTTGTGCGCATAAAAGCATAACGCAGGGACACAGACAATAGTGTGGTGAAGGCCTGGGCATGGGGGGTGCACGGTGGAGGGGATCAATGGTGGGGGGAAGGGGGACATCTCTAATACTTTCAACAATAAAGATAAATTAAAAAATAAAATGAAATAATTGAGCTAAAAACAAACAAAAAACACACAAACATCTACATAGCAGTTACTGTATGCTAGGCACTATTCTAACAACTTTAGAAATATTAAATCATTTAATCCTCACCACTTGAAAGACCCTGAAAGATGATCATTGTATTGTGTTAATCATACATACCTAGAAAGTACAAGAAATTTAATAGTTATGAAGTTGGTTTCAAAATTTAGCAAAACTAGCTTTACCTGGCTCTTAATTCAGTTGTTTCATATTAAACTTGCCAAGCCCAGTCTTCATTTTATTCCTCAATGTCTACGTTTTCTACTTGTAATATGAGAGTTTTTAGAAGCACTTTTGGAAACTTTACTTTAAATTGCCTATATATTCTTGCCAGCTGGATTAGAAATGCAAACTCTAATTTTGACCAATGTATGTATCTCTTTATCTCATGGTCTTAGCAAACCCCCCACCCATTCCACTAAAAAAAATTATACTACATTCTATTGTTCACAATAGCAACTATACAATCTTGTTGACCACATGTGCACTCCCTAACTCTGAGGAGTCAAACAATTTAGTAGAAACCCTAATTTTCAGGAGCTTCACAATTAGGAGAAACTCAAGGATATGTAAGATGGATGCTACCTTACCCCTCATTTCCACTCTTGCTTACCTAGTTTCTTTTACTCTTCATGTAAACTTCTGAGAGCTTTGCCGTGTCTGTGATTTGTGGGCTTGTGGTCAACTTGCTCTTGTCAGTTAACATGTTGCTTAAAAGTTGCCGTGACAACTGGTAAAATAAAGAGCTAATTATGACATGTTTTTGGGACACATTTTATAAGTAAGAGACCTGGAGCAGGTGGCAGCAGACTAGGGCATAAAAAGAGCAGCATAAGTGTCAAGGTATGTCTAAGCAAGCCAGCAATCGGAGATCATGGCATATTACTGTGGAAGAGCAATAATTGATCATGAAACACAGCTAAGTTGGTATAAGAATGTGTGGGTAGAAATGGGAAGTACTAAAGATAAATTCTTTAAATGTTGTGTTTGCCACTATAGTATACAGAATTCTTTGTTTTTGTTCCTTTTGACATTCCAACTTGTGTATGTATTATGAGTTCCATCTATATCTTTACAGGTTTTGGGTTCCTGACATGTAGCTACACTTTAGTTAGAGAAAATTTCTCCTGTTTGGTAATAGGTGGAAACTTATTGCCATCTCATGTACTTAGTCATTTCATATTACTACCCCCTTTCTAGAAAGTCTCTTACTTGCTCTTTCCTTGTTTTATTATACCTATTTTCTTAGTGTTACGATATTTAGATTTTTAAAAATTAGATATCTATAATGCTTAGGCATGATAATATTTTGTCTATTCATTCAAAATATATCCATTAAAAATTCTTACCTGCCAAGAATATTAACAAACTCTTTAAAAAGTATAATGAGCAGTAGAGTGGAGGTAAGATCTTCTTGTTGTCTGGTATACTCCATATTTTCCTGCTATTTAGACAGTTTGTTTTTCACCCTCTGATCTGTATTTAACTACTGCCTCCTGCATACACCCTGACTTGACTCACACTTAACTGCCATCTTTCATAAACTTTCCAAGTATCCTGGAAACTTTAACATTGGCTTTCAGGAGATCTTGGTACTAGCTGAGATTCTACTGCTATCTAATTATGTGCTGTTACTCTGTCTGGAATTTTATCAACTGTAAAATAAAAATCATTTACCTACTGTACAAGGTATCTGTGGACAAACTATTGAAACCTGCATTTAGTCATTAAATAATTTAATAAATAGTTATCAAGTGTACAGAAAGACTGGCCAGAGAAATATCCAGAGGCACTTTGTCTTTTCGCTTAAATAGAAGGGCAGAGGAATCTGGGCTTTGCCACTTACTAGTTGTAATTTGAGCAACCCCTCTAGGCTTTGGTTTCCTCCTTTGAAAAATGGGTATTATTGTGGTACCTACCTCAGAGTTATTATAAGCCTTAAATGCAGTCACATATTTAAAGTGCTTAGGAGAGACAGTACCTAAGACAGAGTAAGTGCTCAAAAAATGGTAGCTATTGTTAATCTGTCTTACATCAGAAATGATGATTTCAAATCCTCCTCACATCTGGGATTTAGATAACCTAATCCCACCTAATACAATTAAGCTTTTCTTATTCTATTCTTAGAATGAATGAGGAATGATTATGATCTTTCCTGTCATAACTTGTCTTGAACTGTTTCAAAATAATCCCATTATTTTAAGTTCACCACTGATTAGTTGAGCAGGGGTAACAATTAAATCAATTGAGATGAGTATGTGAAATTATTTTTTAAACTGTAAAGTGCTATACCATGCTATGACTATTTTAATTACTAACTCCTGTGCCACTAATTGCACTTGTCTTCTCTGCCAGTTCTTTATGATTCCTAAAATTTGTGGTTTTACAACATTATTAGCATGGAGTTAAGATTTCAGTACTCAAAATTTGAAAAGAGCAATTCTTAAAATGTTTTGAGCCATGATAGCATTGTTGAATGAAACACTGATTTGGATGGACACTAAATTCTGAGATGTTTAAGAAAATAAGCCTCCCCGCTTTAACTCTAATCTTTTTCTTAGATGAATAACTTTAAAGAACTAGATTTTATTCAGTGTAAAATATACACTATATGATTATGGTAAAAAAAAATAATGAAACTACATGGAAAACAATGATTTGTCTGCACGATTGATTCATTTGGGTTAGCGCCTTACCAGGACCCTTTGGGAGCATGTGGCCTCTAAGCACTTAGGAGTGGTTTTGTTTTTTACCTTCAGACTTTAGCTTTTCAAAATTACAAAGATGTAGTGTGTCTGCTGTAACAAGATGGAAAAAATTCGTCGTGGGAGGTTACAAGCTTGTTGACCTCAGTCATAAGGGGTTAATGGGTTAACCAAAACTGAAAAAATGTAATATTAAACATAGGACCGAAAGGATGACTCTCCCATACACCATACTCCTCTCCACCCATTATTTCCTAAAAAGCGGGTGACGAAACTACTCCAGGGTTAACATAGGAGCAGAGGAACAACCACTGTGAATCTGCACTAGAAAGAGAGAAGGAAGGATGGAGCTTGGCAAAAAACCAAAACAAAACAAAAACCGGCGGCCCACGGACTGCGCGTGCGTCCCAGGCCCGCCTGACAAAGGCGCCAGCAATGATGCTCAGTGCTTGCGTAGTAAGCAGACGCCCAGGGGCCAGACCCTGCGCGCAAGCGCAGAGGGGCGGTGCCCAAATGATACAAGATAGCAGGTTGTAGTCTTCTCTTTTGCCCAAAAGGCTTACCTGGTTTTCCCTTGGCTGGCAGCAATAAAAGAGAAGGATTTGCGGACGTGACTAAGATAAATTCCTCATTTTTCATTATAGGTTTGGAGGCAGAAAGATGTCAGCGTTAGTGGCCCGGAGCTTGAAGGCAGGAGAGGCGGGTTGTAGGTTGGGAGCCATCCCTGCCCCACTTTGTGCCTGCTGGTGTTAGGGCTGGTAGGACTGCAAAGGTGAGCACCTCTTTCGTCTAATAACTTTCTCCTCTCTTATCTTCTCCCCCCTTCCTCTCTACATCATCTCCTCACCAAGTTGACCTGTCCATATGTGAACGGGAGCCAGAAAGCCTTGAGATCTTAAAACTAAGCAGTAGTTTCTTCCTCAACACGGATATGGCACAGGAGAAAATGGAACTAGACCTGGAGCTGCTGCCAAGTTCAACCATCACAGCCCGCAACATCCTGAGAAGATCCAACAGTGCCCCTTTGATCAGGGAGCTTGGGTGAACAGGATTGAGATGCTGGAGGAGGCAAGCAGGGGAGTGGGTGGCAAGAGTTGGAGAAAGTGAGTTCCGAAAATATCCCCATTGCTTTATTCATCGAGGTTCTGCAGGTATCTCCTTTGGTCTTGGCGTCCAAAGATCTCCCCCTCAGCCTAGAGGGGCGTGAGAGGGACTGACCAGAAGACAAGCACACACCCACACTGAGGTTGATATGAACCTGACCCTCCTCTTCTGAAAGTCCACCAGCACCTGAAAGCAGCAACCAATTGATGTGGAGCTTGACTTTTTCTAATTTCACCTCATCTCTTATCCACTCCTTTGAAAAACTGAGCACTCCCCACCCTCACCTCCACATCTTCTGTGATGACTAATTTTTGTCATTCTCTCAGCTGCTTTGTCACCTCTGACCTTCACCTCCAGTAAATGGAAATGGTTGGCAAGAAAATAAGCTTGGGCCTTTTTTTTATACCCAGTTTTTATTGGAACCAAAAATTTAAGTACCACAGAAAGTTGATCTAAAATTTTGCATTCTCAGTGGCTAATAATTCCCCCAACTTGGTTCTAGGGTGTGTGTGGAAAACACACACAACTCTTTTTATGTGTAAAGCACAGATATACATACATATGGAAATTTCACGGGGATTTTCAAGTTTGCAGTTCGGGGAGAAATGTATATAAAGGTTCCTTAGAAGGCTGATAATGAAACAAATATGATTTAGAAACACTGCCCTAACTGATAGTTAACTGTATATTCTGCACATATCCAAAGTTCCGGCATGACTCAAGCTTATTATTTCTTAAAATAGAATTTTAAAGTGAAATTTCTCATTTTACATCCCAGTATCATAAAGTTTTCTCAATATTATAAATATGTAAAAAAGGTATTTACTACATATGTTATTAACTTTGCTCCTCACCTTTTGCTGGCATCAAACATCCATAGTTATGCCCTAGCCGCTTTTGCTCAGTGGTTAGAGCGTCAGCCTGCTGACTGAAGGATACCGGGTTCGATTCCAGCCAAGGGCACGCGCCTCAGTTGCAGGCCCAATCTCCAGCCCCAGTGGTCAAGGCGCATTCGGGAGGCAACCACTCAATGTGTTTCTCTCACATCAATGTTTCTCTTTCTCTCCTTCCACTCTCTCTGAAAAAGCAATGGGGGGGGG